TGTACTCTAAAGCTTTGGAGGTGTTGGAGGAGGCCATGCTACAATTCTATAGTACAGTTGGAGCTGGACTTTGTCTTCTCTCCCCAAAAATTGGACAACTCGTGGCAGTTGCTGTAGAGGAAGATGCAGTACTGAGAGCTCAGGTCCACCAGGTCACAGAGGACAATGTGAAGGTATCAGAGTCTGTATATATTTCTGTGTATAAAACATAAAGTCAGTTTGCATTAGATGTAATTCAAACTTTTCCTTTTTCGTAGGTGTACTGTGCAGATCACGGGTTCTTTGAAGTGGTCAGCAGGAAGAAGATACTACAGCTGAGGGATCAATTCCTGACTATTCCCTTCCAGGCAACCACATGCCAACTTGCAGGTAATCTTCATGAGAGACTTGTGTATATGTGAGTATGGAAGCCACAGAATAAAAAAATTAAATAAAAAGGGTAATTGTGACTTTTTATCTTGCAGTTCTGACTTCTTCTTTTTTCAGAATTGCGAGTGATAAACAGAATTGTGAGATAAAGAGTTTAATTTAACTAATTTTATTCCATAGCAGAAAAAAAAAACTAAATTGCGAGATGTAAACTCAGAATAATGAGAAAAAAGTTAGGATTGTAAGATAAAAATCGCAATGACCTTTTTTAATATTTTTGTTCCATGGTGAAAGTAATCTTCCATATGTGAGAGAGTAATATGTGATGTAATTTTGTGTTCACATTCACGTTATTTATGTTAGGTCTGGAGCCATTCAGTACAGATGCGGTAGTTCTGAAGTCTCTGGACTCATTAGCTGTTGGTTGTACACTGTTGGCTGAGATTGTGGAGCTTGAGGACACACCCCTTATTGTGCTGTATGACACTTCTCAGAATGAGGATGTGAATGTGAATGCTGTATGCTTGAAAGCCCTGCAGGATAAGTCCATGGAGAATCCTTTACAGGTCAATCAGAATTAAATTAAATCACATGATTATTAAATTGCTGCATATTTTGTTAGACTTTGAGAAAATCATTTATACAAATGAATAAATTCATTCCCCCCCATCTCTTCAGGTGAACAGTGTGTACACAAACGTGTGTGTGACAAATGTGTGCTCTGATGGCAGTATTTACTGTCAGTTGCCTTCTCGAGGCCAGGCCAAACTCAAAGACATCATGGACAAGATTGAAGCACACTTCATCTCTCAGGTAAAAGAGTTAAATTCAGTGATTTTTATGATTCTGTTAGGAGGTGTATTGATTATGAGAGCATTAAATGTCTCTTATGTGTTTCTAAGTTAACATGGGAGCTGTTGGTGTCCAAACCGTTCTGCGGGAAAGTGTGTCTAGCTAAACACAAAGGCAAATGGGCGAGAGCAGAGGTGAGAAGACTGCCTACACTTTCCCTTCATCACTCATGTCATGTTCTAACTGTCTCCACACATTTAATTTGCCATTTGTTCAGTGAAAACTGAGGCTGTGCAATATATCAAAATAAAATCAAATGTCTTTTTTTTCCTATGTAGATGTACTTCCGTCATTCTAGAATCATTCTAGTCTTCTAGAATGTCTGAAGTCTTTCCAAATAGAGTGATTCATATTTTCATTGCTTATATGAATGTGTGTGGCATTTGTGTGTAGATCATTAACCTTCATGGCAGTCAAGTGTTGGACATCCTGTTTTTGGATTTGGGACTTGCTGCTTCTCTGGAGGTTAGCGAGCTCAGAGAGATCCCGCCAATTTACCTCAAAGAGCTCATCACCATACCTCCTCAGGTACACATGCAGACGTCTCAGTCATTCAAGCTCATCACTTATCACTTACTTTTAACTTTGTGTTTGAATAATATAGTAACTCTCAAATAACTCTTTTTGCATTTAGTGAGTGTTATTATTGGATCAGGTCTGTGGCATGGCATTAGTCTTTATGAATGAAAGTAAATGTTTCTGCCTCTGTAGGCTATAAAGTGTATCCTGGAGGAACTGAATGCAGATGGGAGTGTTTGGCCTCCTGAAGCTGTTCTGTGGTTGAGAGAGACAGTCCTCAGCAAAGTCCCCAGTTGCATGAAGGTCTTGCACATTCCGTTGTTGTTTACTGAAAATTGTGTTTTAATTTTTGATATTCTTACTCTAAAGTTTCCATTTATTGGCGTTTGTGTTGTGTTTAGATAGTGAAGCTTGATGAGACCAGGACTGTGCACGTCTATCTCTTCTCTGGTAATGGAGCTCAGGACCTTCAGAGCAGTGTTAACCACCAGCTTGCCTCCTGTCCATTCTGGCAGCGGGATGTCTACTTCAGCAAGATCGCCAGGGTTTCCGAACCGATCCTGCCAGAGGCAGGGGACAGCTCCTATACATCTCCTGCACAGTTGAATGCCCTCACACTGCCCCCTCCGCTGGACTTACCACTAGTCGGGCAAAACGTGGATGTGTTTGTGTCGGTTGCATGCCACCCTGGGCACTTCGTGCTGCAGCCATGGCAGGATCTGTACAAGCTGGTGGTGCTGATGGGAGAGATGATTCTGTTCTACAACAAACAGGAAGTAACCCAAATCAACATCCAGAAGAATAACGTCTACGCTGCCAAGATCGACAACAAGTGAGATATGAGTGGCATTTGAGGATTATACTTCCTCACCCTTCTTTGCAACTAAATCTTTTTCTGTCTTTTTTTTCACTCTTCCTTTGTCTTCACCTCTCTTTATTTATAGTTGGCATCGTGTTTTGGTAAAGGGCGTCTTGACCAATGACTTGGTCTCTGTGTATGAGTTGGATTATGGGAAGTACGAGTTGATCAACTATTCCCAGCTCCAACCACTCATCGATGAGTTCAGGCAGCTGCCTTTCCAGGGAATTTCTGCTCAATTGGCTGGTAAGAGACAAGCAGGAGCCAATTGAAGCTAAAACAAAATTATGTCGATTATTTTTCAGCCTTTTACTAATATTTGATGTACACAGGGATTAAAGTTCCGTCGCTACGACGGATTTCCGTCAGTTCATAAAGACAGTCACTTGCTTCATTCCTGAATTTACTTATTTGTCTTATTCTACTACATATTATATTGCAGGGGTTAAAGCAAAAAAAAAATCTTTTGACTGAATCATTCATTCAATTGATTCGTTCGAACGGCTGAATCATTCAGGAATGAAGCAAGTGACTGTCCCTGCGTTCCGTTCGGAAGGGCACATCCCTATGCCCTAATCCCTTCCAAAGTGTTTACCCTCCAGAGTGAGAGCTTCGAAGCGTTGAAGGGTGTAGGGGACCAAACAACTGTTTCTTGAAGTGCCCTTCTGCATCATAATCACGTGCCCACACGGAGGCGCCGTCATCATGTAAAGAATCTGCGCAAAGGTTCATGGGAGCCCGAAGTGTCCATCAGTTGTGCCCTTCGAAAGGGCACATACCGAAGGGCCCTTTGAAGTGGCCAGTTTTGAGCACTTCGGTTTGGAACGACCCTTCAATATGGCGGCCATGATTGTTTTCACTCCGAAGTGCCCTTCGGAGGGCGATATATCCCTTTTGGAATGCACGGTGTCTTTATGAACTGAAGGAAATCCGTCGTAGCGACAGAACTTTAATCCCTGTGTACATCTTTGCTCTGAAATGGCTTAAAGGGTGATTTGTCTTTCAAAGTAGCCATATATTTCAGCGAAACGCCCATTGTTGGCAAGTAGATTAAAAATGTTTAAAGCAAGTACAGTAAAAAAGCTAAAACAAGCCTTTTTTTTTCTAAAAGAATACTAAAACAATATATTGCTATATTTATATATGCACCAGTATAACACATTAAAAATAATAAAGAGTACTATTTCCCTGCATATTTTTTTTCTAATACTTTTTTAGAGCATGCGAAATTCCACACAGGGATTTCAGTCAACAACTGATTCTGAACCGATTCAATTTATGTATAATTTAAGTATCTAATTGTGACACAAAGTTTGCTTGCCTAGTCTTCAGTGTGCTTAACAACCAAATACAAATATTAAAATCGAGATATTCACAATACTGAGTCAGTTTTATGTTTGTTTAATAAAAATATCAAATATATTGTAAATATTTGATGTATTGCCCAGCCCTATATCTGTGAAAGCTTCTGATTTGCATGTGAAATGCTTGTTTTCAGGTGTCAAGCAAGGGGTCTGGGGTGAGGAAGCTTCTATGGTGTTCCGTAACCATGTTGAGAAAAAGCCGCTGGTGGCTCAGATCGAGTCAGTTGAGGAGGGGGAGTGTCCCTGGGAGTGCAAAATCTCAGTCTACCTAGTGGACACCACACAGGAGGACAATGACATCTGGATCCACAACATTATGGTGGAGTTTTTAGATGAGATCAACAGAGATGCTTGAGACTGCCATGACTAGCCTTTCCAAGGACCATGCTGAAACTTTGAGCCTGCAGAAACCTTGATCTAGAATTTGAGAGAATTAACTCTAGATGTGTTTGGTGGGTCATTTTATTCGTGCATACTCAAGAATTGTTTCAGTTATTGTTATGAGTGCCATGGAAAAGGGATTTCTTTACCTGTTTTTGCAGTTATGATAAATAATAATGTTATAACATTACCAAATTAACTCGTTAATACCTGGACAACTTCTCTTTCTGTGTCTTTACAATGGGGCCATTTTGGTAATTTGGTTTTTTCACGTGTGTATTGTGTGAGACACTACTGCCTGTATTGTTTATACTCATTGATTTTTGCACTTTGTTTGTGATCTTATTGTGTGTTTTCTAAACGGAAGATGGTCTAATTGTAAAATAACATTTGTGTTCAGATGCTCAGGTTTGTTTTATTTCCAAGTTAACATTTGGTTCAGAGCATTAAACAAAAATACTAAGACACAGTTGGATGACTGTCATTTGTTTTTGCAACTTGATATCGGTAAAAATGCAGCTTTGAGTTGTGGGACCCATGAAATCCCCTGATTGGTGGACTTGAGGTATGGCATCATTTGATTGGCAGGTCGGTGCAGTGGGCGGGGCCGTGTTCTGCGCTCCGTGTTTGTAGAAACTCTTTGATCGACACCGACTGCTAGACTTGTTGAAAGAAGGCTGGAGCAGTAACTGCTTTTAATATTTGGACTTTTCTCCGCCGTGTCAAGCGCTGTTCTTCTATGAACCTTGGACTTGAGAATTCATTGCTTGAGGCAGCAGCGCATTTGTGTGAATTAGCGGCTCTGAAAAGAAACCATATCTGGTCAAAGTATTCAGCTGTCACATGCGCTATATATAGTGTGGGATAAGCGCTGTCTGAAGTAAGTGAGAATGATAGACGCTCCGGTACTAACACGCTTTGTTTTCCTCATCGTTGCATAGAGCAATGAAACATACAAATATGTATATTAACAGAACTGATGACGCTCGGAGAACATTATAGGCTATATCTGATAAATAATAATTAGGCTTGCGGTTTTGAATGTATGATATATATTTTACCTTTATTTTGCTAATGGTAAAAGATATGTATCTGGTCTTTCCTGATCAGAAGCAACACACCTTTTTACTATAGATCGTTATTTGCACTTGTTTTAGAGAGTTTTATTAACAGAAGTGGAAAAGTAGTTTGTGTGAGGAACCGGAAATGTGTATATAATAGCTAGTTTATTGAATGTGGAAACCTAAACTAGAGGTTTCAAGTCAATAAATTTGCATTATATAGTGTGTTGAAGTTTGCTGGTCAATGTCCTTGTCTATTGGATTCACCAAGGACAATGGAGCTGGTCCAAAACAGATGCCAGCCTTCAGTTTGACTTCATGTAGATGTATTAATATATGACTCCATTTATCTAATCTTTAAGATCATACGATCCATATGTATATATATGTATATGTATGTGTATATATATATGTATATGTATATGTATGTGTATATATATATGTATATGTATGTGTATATATATATGTATATATATATATATATATATATATATATATATATATATATATATATATATATATATATATATATATATATATATATATATATATATATATATATATATATATATATATATATATATATATATATATATATATATATATATATATATATATATATATATATATATATATATATATATATATATATATATATATATATATATATATATATATATATATATATATATATATATATATATATATATATATATATATATATATATATATATATATATATATATATATATATATATATATATATATATATATATATATATATATATATATATATATATATATATATATATATATATATATATATATATATATATATATATATATATATATATATATATATATATATATATATATATATATATATATATATATATATATATATATATATATATATATATATATATATATATATATATATATATATATATATATATATATATATATATATATATATATATATATATATATATATATATATATATATATATATATATATATATATATATATATATATATATATATATATATATATATATATATATATATATATATATATATATATATATATATATATATATATATATATATATATATATATATATATATATATATATATATATATATATATATATATATATATATATATATATATATATATATATATATATATATATATATATATATATATATATATATATATATATATATATATATATATATATATATATATATATATATATATATATATATATATATATATATATATATATATATATATATATATATATATATATATATATATATATATATATATATATATATATATATATATATATATATATATATATATATATATATATATATATATATATATATATATATATATATATATATATATATATATATATATATATATATATATATATATATATATATATATATATATATATATATATATATATATATATATATATATATATATATATATATATATATATATATATATATATATATATATATATATATATATATATATATATATATATATATATATATATATATATATATATATATATATATATATATATATATATATATATATATATATATATATATATATATATATATATATATATATATATATATATATATATATATATATATATATATATATATATATATATATATATATATATATATATATATATATATATATATATATATATATATATATATATATATATATATATATATATATATATATATATATATATATATATATATATATATATATATATATATATATATATATATATATATATATATATATATATATATATATATATATATATATATATATATATATATATATATATATATATATATATATATATATATATATATATATATATATATATATATATATATATATATATATATATATATATATATATATATATATATATATATATATATATATATATATATATATATATATATATATATATATATATATATATATATATATATATATATATATATATATATATATATATATATATATATATATATATATATATATATATATATATATATATATATATATATATATATATATATATATATATATATATATATATATATATATATATATATATATATATATATATATATATATATATATATATATATATATATATATATATATATATATATATATATATATATATATATATATATATATATATATATATATATATATATATATATATATATATATATATATATATATATATATATATATATATATATATATATATATATATATATATATATATATATATATATATATATATATATATATATATATATATATATATATATATATATATATATATATATATATATATATATATATATATATATATATATATATATATATATATATATATATATATATATATATATATATATATATATATATATATATATATATATATATATATATATATATATATATATATATATATATATATATATATATATATATATATATATATATATATATATATATATATATATATATATATATATATATATATATATATATATATATATATATATATATATATATATATATATATATATATATATATATATATATATATATATATATATATATATATATATATATATATATATATATATATATATATATATATATATATATATATATATATATATATATATATATATATATATATATATATATATATATATATATATATATATATATATATATATATATATATATATATATATATATATATATATATATATATATATATATATATATATATATATATATATATATATATATATATATATATATATATATATATATATATATATATATATATATATATATATATATATATATATATATATATATATATATATATATATATATATATATATATATATATATATATATATATATATATATATATATATATATATATATATATATATATATATATATATATATATATATATATATATATATATATATATATATATATATATATATATATATATATATATATATATATATATATATATATATATATATATATATATATATATATATATATATATATATATATATATATATATATATATATATATATATATATATATATATATATATATATATATATATATATATATATATATATATATATATATATATATATATATATATATATATATATATATATATATATATATATATATATATATATATATATATATATATATATATATATATATATATATATATATATATATATATATATATATATATATATATATATATATATATATATATATATATATATATATATATATATATATATATATATATATATATATATATATATATATATATATATATATATATATATATATATATATATATATATATATATATATATATATATATATATATATATATATATATATATATATATATATATATATATATATATATATATATATATATATATATATATATATATATATATATATATATATATATATATATATATATATATATATATATATATATATATATATATATATATATATATATATATATATATATATATATATATATATATATATATATATATATATATATATATATATATATATATATATATATATATATATATATATATATATATATATATATATATATATATATATATATATATATATATATATATATATATATATATATATATATATATATATATATATATATATATATATATATATATATATATATATATATATATATATATATATATATATATATATATATGTATATATATATATATATATATATATACGTATCTTAAAGAAAGCAAGCATAAGCCAACTTTTCAAACAAAACATTTGGAAAAGAGTCATTCAAAAGTTTAGGTCATAAATACTCGAGCATAGACGGATATAAACACAAAGTATTTGTGCGTTATCTGGTTGTTAAATGTTAGCAGAGCATGTCCTCAGTTAATGTGATGAAGTACACCTGTGGTTATTCTGCTCTCCATAACCCATATGCTTTAAAATTGTCTAGATTAATCCACTTAAATATAGTAGAAAATCATAAATTATAGTCTTGACATACTGATCATCATGAAGAACATAATTATTCAGCATAAAATCCTTTGAACCTTCTTTAGAATAGACCTAATAATGAATCTGTTTCTCGTCTTTACCAAGGTGCTGTGGTTGGGCGGCTCGACTGTTCCTGTCTTTTTTCCTTCTATTTTATCTTGTTCACCATGTTCCGTAAAGAGATGGACAAGTACCGGGATGTGGATGAGGATGAGCTCTTGCAGAAGCTCAGTGAAGAAGAGCTCAGGAGACTTGAAGATGAACTTGAAGAGCTTGATCCTGATGTAAGTGCACTTAAAACGCATCTAAAAATGGACTTTAGGAGCTCCATAAAATGAAACACATTTCATAGTTCAGTTGTCTCTGGATACTTTGCAATGTGAAAGGTTAATAAACTTTTCTTTTCTTTTTTTCTTTTCTTTTCTTTTTTTTTGTGACTGTTGCTACCTAGTTTGGTTTGTTTGTCAGGACTGTGCTATTTCCCAGTGTACTTTGTTTGGCTTTACTGTGTTTTATGTATAATGTGTTTGTTTGTTTGTCTGTACTGTGACAGTGGTGTTTGTTCGACTGGATTGTGTTGTTTACTTTGGACTGTGTTGCTATTTATTGTTTAAGAAGCCAGCTTAATTCCTGCTTTTTCATCTGGACTGTGTTGTACAATCATTTGTTTAGTGTTGTCGTTTCAATGGCATTTTTGTTTAAGAAACCCACTTTCTGTGTTGTTTCAAAGTGTTTGTTTGTCTTTACTGCGTTGTTTCATAGTGGTGTTTGTTGACTGGGCTGTATTGTTTTGCTTTGGACTGTGTTGTAGCCTATTGTGGTTTGTTTGATGTTGGACATTGTTTCAGTGCCATTATTTGTTTGAGAGTTCCACTTAATTCCTGTGGTTTGTGTTTGTCTGGGCTGTGTTGTGTCACACTGGCGTTTCTGAGTTTAGACCATCATGGTGAAGTCAGCTTGATCGGACTGTGTCGTTTTACAGTGGTTGGAGTGTGTGCTGTTGTATTTCAGTAGTGTTTTTAGGGAATTGCAAGTCTTGTAAGGCTTTGGTTCTCTTTGTTGCTGTTCTTTTTCTCACTCAGACCACAGTTTTATATTCGCTCTTGAGGAATCTGGTTTGACTCCAGCATCTAAGCACGTCTTGACAGATTTAGACACAGATGTAGGATAAATGTTCAGCAACAGAGAAGAGGGAAAGGAGAATTTCTTCTCCCAAACTGAGATGTTCAGCCAGAGGTGTAGAAGTTTACCATAAATACTAGTGCTGGAACAAGTTAATCTGCTCAAATGTAACAAAAATAAACATTCCCCACCAAAGCCGAGCCTTTTCCTGAAACACTAAATTGTGCTGTAAATTTTGTAGTGGAAATATCTACTTTAATGATTTTAAATGTCACTTTAGTTAACCGGAGTCTCCATTTGCTCAATTTTATCTGCACTAAGGATAAACAATGCTAAGGTGTCCTATAAAGCTCTGTTCTCTCCGAGTTCTTTCTGAAATGCTGTGTGTTCTGGATTCTGTCATCACATTTAACATGCACGTATGTACACATCCCCCCGTTTGCTCTGCGGCTGATAGGCCCTGTCTTAGAAGAATGTTATCATTGCTCTCTGTATTTGAGGCATTTGTGGCGTTTGCCTTTTCAGTATGTGGGTGCAAATAAGAAAACCTGGGTTAGGTGCAAGCTTCAGAAATCTGATATAGCCTGATACAGGAAATTGATGGAAGATGGCCCCTGTGACTGTACCATATACAGTGATGGTATTAAGAATCTATGGTAATTTAAGATATGGCAAGTTTATCTTTTATGTAATGTGCTATTTTACATTCTGTGTGCTTTTTATGATCGTTTGATGACAGATCTAATGTTTCTGAATGATATTGTTCTCAGAACGCACTGTTGCCGGCAGGATTCAGACAGAGGGATCAGACTAAGAAAGCTCCGACCGGAACGTTCCAGAGAGATGACCTTCTATCTCACCTGGAGAAACAGGCCAAAGAACATCCAGATCGAGATGATCTTGTTCCCTACACTGGTGAGAAAAGAGGTAAGAATTGACTTCAATTTAGAACCATGGGCACTTTTGGAACTTTTAGAGAAATATAAACTCTCTTCACACTCTCATTAGTTTGTAATTTGTCAACTAAAAAGTCCAATAGTGTATATATATATATATATATACACTGTACATCACAGGAGAAATTATGTAGTTTTTGTCTTTTTATCCTGAGTTATAAACATTGCCACTACACTGTCATTTCCAGCTTTGCGTTTGACATTTTATTAACGGAAATTACATAGCTCTTTTATGAAACCTAAATACAAACAGTTTCTATTTGACACTTTTTGCATAACGCAGTGAAATTACACATAGGCACTGGAAATGATGCACATGAAGTGATATTAACTTTTAGGATTTATTCACATATCACATCTCATTAAACAAGAACACTCACATTTAATAAATTGTTTTAGAGGCAAAATTTGATGTTGAAATGGTGCCACATATGTAGGACAGTCAAAAATAAATGAAGGCATTTTTTCCTTCTCTCTCCATCTCGGTATGTGTGTAAATGTGCGTATGTAGGAAAAATGTGGATGCCTAAGACCAAAGTTGTTGACCCTATCCTGGAAGATGTCACTCTGGAGCCTGAACTAGAGGAGGCGCTATCTAGTGCTACTGATGCAGAATTGTGCGATATAGCAGGTACAATACAAATGTCAGCAATTTCATTCATATATGTAGGTTATGCTTCTTTGATTCTTAGGATCCGAGGTACCATTTTATATATTTAAGTTTAAAATAAATGTATTAAGATGTAATTCCATTCAGCACCTTCTGTTTACTAATTTTAATATTAATCCATATTCAAATACATCTGTAATTTCATTGACTAATTCCCACTTCCTCTGTGTGTGTGTGTGTGTGTGTGTGTGTGTTTGTATCTCACCGTGTGCCTCTCTCTGGTTTGTCCTTTAGTTTTCTCCACTCCATTTTTACATCTTCATTCCTCATTTTCTCTGTCCACTCCCCTGCTCCACCGTTTCTAAGCCACGGATCATTCCAGTAGGTTTATCTGCAACATTGTATGCTGCTTTAACATTGCCAGAATGTTTCTTAAACATTAATTCAGTATTTGCATGGTATGTTCAGCACATTATGTTATCTGCATGATTTAAGTTAGTTATTTTAACCAAAAATGAAAACTCTGTCATGTTGCTTCCAATCATTTCTCTGTTGAGACACCACAAAGAGCAGCAAAATTCTTCAAAATCTCTGAATCTCTAAATCATGGAACAACAGGATAAATAATTAATTTTTATTTTTAGGCGAACTTTGTGTAGCGTGCACATGCCATTTCCTGAAACTGCATATGCAAGTTTGAGTTCTTTCATAACAGTGACTCACCCATGTGCGCTAAAGACACATGGCTACCAAAAAAGGGGAACAAAGATTTTCCTGCTGGCTAAAAAAAAAAAAACTCTCGACCATCAGCCATCAGCTTGCTCTCATTTAGCATGATGGAGAGGTTTCCCTTAAAATGAGGTCAATAGTTTTTTTTTCTTTGGGATCGTGTTTCAAAAACAGCAGGATTTAAGGAGTCGACCCAGTCTGAACAGCTTATATGTACAGACAGATAGGAGCTTCATATGGGAATGAGGTTAGCTCAGTTGTCTTTGGCCCAGGGTCAACAATCAGATGCAGTATGAGTATACAAGCCAGACTCATAAATTGCACTTTCCTCTCGACTCCCTATTCAGATGTTTTGCTGTTCATTTTCATGTTTTGTTCTGCACTAGTTCATTTGATGGCATTACTGTTCTGCTTGATATATTTTTCGTCAGGTAAATGTAAATGATTTTGAGTTCCTAATGATCTTGGAAAACATGATTTTACATATGATTTACATAAACAAGTAATATATTTCATTCAGCAGGATGGAGGATGGATAATGGCCATATAAAGTCCTGTGTTTTGTATACTGTAAGAAAACTTGACTAACATGATAAGCAGGGTAAAATATAGACTTGGCCCCCTTTTTATCTTCAGCTTCATCCAACTTATTCTGTTTTTTCCCCCTCTTTCTAAATTTGAAAAGCCATTTTGGGCATGCACACACTGATGAGTAATCAGCAGTATTACGAAGCATTGGCCAGCAGTACTATCGTCAACAAACAGGGCTTGAACAGTAAGTGAATACATCAGTTATCTTGTAACATTTTTGTATGATTTTATGTTTTATATTTGTTGATTGATTATTTTGATCAAATTATAGATTACCCTTAAAAGGAATATTTTACACAAAAATGAAAATTTGCTAAAAATTTACTCACACATCAGGCCATCCAAGATGAGTTTGTTTCTTCATCTGGACAGAAATGGATCCTCTGCAAGTGAATGGGTGCCGTCAGAATGAGAGTCCAAACAGCTGATACGAGCATCACAGTAATCCACACGACTCCAGTTGATACATTAATGTCTTGTGAAATGAAAAGCTGCGTGTTTGTAATAAAGCAATCATTAAAACATTTTGAACTTCAAACTGTTGCTTCTAGCTAAAATACGAGTCCTACAAGTGAAAACAGTCCAAAACAGTTCTAAACAAACATGTCGGTGGATTTTTATGTGAGAGGCCAACCTGGAATTAACTTTTTCACTAGAGGAAGCACTATTATGGTTTATGGACTTTCATTCTGACGGCACCCATTCACTGCAGAGGATCCATTGGTGAGCAAGTGATGTAATGCTAAATTTCTCCAAATCTGTTCTGATAAAGAAACAAACTTATCTACATCTTGGATGGCCTGAGGGTGAGGACATTTTTAACAAATTGTGATTTTTGGGTGAACTATTCCTTTAAACATGCCTGAATGTCAAATGAATCTTCAAATAAATGTAAATTAATGTAAAATGTGAACAAAAAATAATGCAATGCCATACAATTGTAAGTGTAGCTTGGGAATAGACAGTGTTGAATTTTACAATGTGATATAGTGTTGTGTTATATAACAGCTAGCACTGAACCATATGATTTGTTGTAACTCAAAGTTGTATTATATACACACAGGTGTAATCCAGTGTACTCGGTATAAGCCTGTGCCAGACGAACAGCCCAATGACACAGATGTAGAGGAAACACTACAGAGAATCAAGAGAAATGATCCAGACCTTGTTGAGGTCAACCTTTTCATTATTTTTAATGCAAGAAAGTAGTGTTTAATTTATGCAGACTTTTATAAAAAAAAATATATTTTGGGGTGAATACATTCTAATACTTATTTCGTGATATTTAAGTACACTACCGTTCAAACATTTGTGCTTAGTAAATATTTTATTCAGCAAGAATGCATTAAATTGATCAGTAGATTTCTTTTTCAAATAAATGCTGTTCTTCTGAACTTCTAAGTAAATAAAAATATTAAGTAACTGTTTTCAAGATTTTGAATTTTGAACGGTAGTGTAGTTATTAAACAGCGTGTAATGTTGTTTGGTTCCCAGGCACTAGCAGACATACTGAAAGTGAACACCACTCTAAAGAGTCTAAACGTTGAGTCAAACTTCATTACTGGAGCTGGAATTCTGGCACTCGTGGAATCCTTAAAGAGCAACACTACACTGCAGGAGCTAAAGATTGACAACCAGGTACACTCATTCACTCACACACACACACATACACACACACATACATACAAATAATAAGGTCGTATGAGGTCTGAGCCATTATCCTTGAGGTCAGGGGTTCAGTCTGAATGTAGGGATGATGGAGGGGCATAGGAAAAGTTGTTATATCCTGTGTGTTTATGTGCAATACAGAGCCAGCCTTTGGGTAATAAGGTTGAGATGGAGATAGCTAACATTTTGGAGAAGAACACTACTCTGCTGAAGTTCGGATACCACTTCACCCAGCAGGGCCCACGCTTGCGTGGATCTAATGCCATGATGAACAACAATGACCTGGGTAAGAAACACGCAAAGTTTTTTCAGGGTTCTTTGATGAATAGAAAGTTCAAAAGAACAGCTTTTATGTTAAATAGGAATTTGTCACTTCTGATCAATTTAATGCAGCCTTGCTGAATAAAAGTATTAATGGTATGTATCTACTGGTGTTTTCAAGCCATGTATGTATTTCCAGCACGTGTAGTTCGGTCGGACTCAGATGGCGCGATCACATTCACTCTGTCAGTCCCTGAGCTGGAAAGAGCCTTCTGTAAAAAGTTCAAGTTCACATCAAAACCCAAGTAAACAGAGTCTTGCCCTCCTTGTCTCACTCTAGGTACTACCTGCTGTCTTTTCGCTCTCATTTAGTCTCCTTGCAATCCCTCAAGCCTCTGGATCATTTTGAACTTGTGTACTTTTCCTCAAGCTCCCTTCTGCCACTTCAGCATCTACACTACTGCATTTCCTTCCGTCAAAGTGAATTCAAAACCTGTCTCTCTCCATTATCTGGTTGTTTCTTGGTTTTGTTTGTCTGTTGTGCTGGTTGTTTGGCTGTCTTATGTGTTTTCTTTAGGTTTTTTAGAAAATGCCCTCTGGCTTGCTGTGCATGCAGAACATTTTCTTTAAGGAATAGTTCACACAAAAATAAAAAAAATGAGTTCTCTGTTTTGACTCTCTCTCTCTCTCTCTCTTTTAACTTACTTTCTTCTATGGAATGCAAAAGGAGAATAACCATGTCTCAAAAGTATCAAAAAAGGCAAAAAGCACCATGAAAGTAGCACATGCTCTTTTAACTGAGTGAACTATTCCTTTAATTGCAAGTTTCTGTCTTTGAAATGCAGTAAGGATTGCCCAATGTCTAACATAAAGGTTTTGTGAGAAATTATAAGAATGTCTTTTTTTTATAATAGTCTTGGAAGCATAAAAGTAATCGGTAATGTATTGTTTTCAAGCAAAAGTGCATGTATGAATTCATACATTCATAGCTTTCATGCAGTTACATTATGGATGTGTAATTTCCAGTTATTATTGCACATTCATTTTTTATTTTATTTTATTTTTAATGTTTTCCAAAAAGTTTACAATTTAAAAAAATTATTTTAATCTGTTTTATGAATTTATAAAAAACATTAAAAAAAACAAAAAACAATGTGGGATCAGTAAAATTGCTGGCAGGACAAATACAAGTCTAAAAAAACAAAACAAAAAATGAAAAATCTTATTGTTGAGCCCTTAATATATTGTTATAATGAAACCAAAGTTTCCTCGTTATGTCCTTAAAATTGATCAACCCTTTTTATTTGTGTGTGCAGTAAGAAAGAGAAGGCTTGAAGGAGGACCCATCTTTCCTAAATGTCGGACAAACGTGTAGCAGCCTCGGGAACCCTCTATGGCCTGGGACCTGCATCACACCCCATCTCATCCCAAATCCTCCCTTCATTTCTGTCCCTTTCACAGATAAATCACAGGATCATCTAAAAGAAAACATTCAATTCAGAATGCTTTTTTTAAAGCCCCAGATCTGGAAACCCAAAGGTACCACCCTCTGTTTACCAGACACATAGTTACTCATGGTGAGTGTTTTAAAAATGTGTAAACTACCTGCCATAACATTAGCAGGGGAAAATCACCTACTTGTGTTGATGGAAGCAGTAAAGATGAAAATGACACTCTCACAATGTTGACCTAATATTCTTGCTGTAAACAGTTTGACCTTAAAACCAGCCATTTCACTGTGTTTGGATGCACACCAAGAGCATCAAACTTCAAACTTGACTGATTGTAGGTGTGGTTTTGTCTTCTCCTGGCCAGTTTGAGTCTCACTGTAGTAGTAGTTCTCGCACACATCGCATAGAAGCATGTTCTTACTGTGTGCTTTTTGGGATATACTGTCATTTTGACCTGCTCGTCTCTCTTGAAATGTTTAACAACAGGTAAATTTGTAGCTATGCAGATTCATTGCTGGCAAGTCGCTGTACTGTGGTTTCTAGTACTTTGCTATGCGGCAAACACCAATGAAAGTGCATTGTTGGTGCATATTTGCATAAACTCGCATCACCAAGTCGTCAACAGCTCATGTCGCAGAAATCACCAACTCGCATTTAAAAATAAATATGAATTTCCAGTCGCTGCAAATCACTGTCAGTGTGAACATATCTTTATTGGTCACCTGATAACAGTACAAAATCTAAGCTCTATGTCATTTGCACTGCTCCAGTATATTTATGAAAGTATTTATGTAGTTTATATCCTTGGTTTGATGAGGGGAAAACCTCTTTGTCATGTTTAGGACAAGCTGTGTTTCAATTTCCACAATTAGCAATAATATCTCTCTTATTATACTAACGGTCTCTCTATGTTATCCACTTATCATAAAATGAATATGACTTATGTGTATACAGTGTTCTTCCTCATTTAATGCTTTTTTATGTTTGAGTGAGGCTCAAAACACAATTGAAAACCTATCATAAAACTATATGTATTATTGCCTATGACTGCTCTCATTAAGTAACGTCCAGGTTAAATCCCTAAACAAAGATATTATATTTTGCATGAAGAAAATTATTTTAGGATCGAACTACCATACAAGATTTTTTGCATTGTGACATTACTTTCATGGCATTTAAGCATGATTTCCCCTGAATTCTCATTACATTAGTACATTAAATAATTTAATTCAGTATAACAAAAAATACAAAGGGCTTGATTCTTACTTTTTCCCCAAATAACACTAGTGCTCTTAAGTTGAACAATTTAGGAGCATGTTAAAACTCTAAGGGCACATTGAAAATGTATCATAAAGAGCCACAAAGACATTTACAAGCAAAAAGATTTAATTTATTAAAACACAAAGTACACTAGGTTTTTAAATATTTCAGCTTCAAACTGTATTAGTAATTATATACTGTTATAAACAGATTATTGTGCTGATACTAGTAAAATCGGTGTTAAATAATGTTTGCAATCTTTCTTTCCTGAGAGGAGGCAGCCCAGACAGAACAGACTTTGCAGCGTTCATATTTACATAATGAAATAATAACCTTTTAAAGCTTAACAATCACAATAGGCTGTATCATGATTTCTTTTTTCTGTCCCCAAGACCTTTTAAGATAAGATGTTTGTTATACAATTTAAGATATTTAAGACTTTTTAAATACTTGCAGCAACTTTTTTTATTTGCACGTGCTCCTAAATACATTTTACAGTTTGCACACATCTATTTTTAGTTGCAGAAGCGAGTGAAATGTTCACAATGTTGAGCTCTTGTACAGGAATTTTTACTTAAAATTGCACTGAACGATTTGTCATACATCTTGATTTTGAGGGGAAATATGACCTGGTCATTTATTGGCAGTTTTTGTGAGACTAGGCATCATTTGCAATCTGTCATGTGCAGTGATTTAGCAGGTGTGTGTGTGTGTTTCTCAGATATTTGTTGTCCGTGATCAGGCCTTACTCCCTTCACACTCTCCCAGCACAGTAAAAGTCAGTGTGTTTTATGGATGTAAACATTATCCTTCTGTTTAAAGGACAGAGCATTTATAGGACTTTTGGGGCCGTCGTCTTGTTCAAAACCAAAAAGGGACAATTTTACTGTTGATTGTCTTGTCCTGTGTTTGGACGCAGGCCCATAATCGTAGCCATAGAGTGCCTGGGAAGGTGCACATATTTACATTTTGTTAGTGCACCTTACTGTATGTGGTTTACTGAGTTAATAAAGACTGAATAAGTTGTGTGGAAATGTTCTTAACAGAAACCTTTTTTTTCTCTCCACATTTACAGCATTGCATCAGGAATACTATTTAAATATTTATGCTCAGAAAATTTTAGAATGACCAACAGTGCCACTTTGTGGTCCGGTGTATTAATAGTGGCTGCACTATACGAAGATTATGCAGGCTTTATATGTTCAAACCATTTGTGGCTTTGTACTTTCTTCGAAGTTTAGTTTAAAATTTATATAAATGTTCAGTGGAAACTGTATGTATTTGTACTTGCAATGTATTTGTAGAGGCTGTGAAATTGTGCTGGTCACAATTTATTTGAAGTTTTAAAAATTTTTAGATTTTTGCAGTTTACTGCATTGTGTCAAATTGATTAACACGCAAGTACCTATACACTTCTGTTCAAAAGTTTGGTGAGATTTTCGTATATTTTTGAAAGATTTTCATAAATTGTATGCTCACCCAGGCTGTATTTATTTGTACAAAAATACAGTAATATTGTGAAATCTTGTTACAAATAAAAATAACTCTTTTCTATTTTAATATATTTTAATTTGTAATTTATTCCTATGATGGTAAAGCTATTTTTTTTTAGAAATACATGATACATTTTTTTTTGCAAGGATTATTTGATGAATAGAAAATGCTAAATAGAGTAGAATTTTTTTGTACTATTATCAATGTCTTCCACTTTTTTTTATAGAGAAAATTAAATGACATGAGACATGAACTGAGTTTATGAGAACATTTAATGAGAAAATTAAATGACATTTAATAGATCCTTGCTGAATAAAAGTATTAATTATTAAAAAAATAATAATTACTGACCCCAAACTTTTGAACAGCAGTGAATTGAAACCCCAAACTAAATATGTGTGACTGGCTGCTTTATTACAGTGCCATACCCATCAGATCTTAAGACAGACATATCATCAGAGCCATTCATACACTCTTACGATTTTATTTCTTGTTTTACTGCAAGCCAAGCAAACAGAATACATTATTATTGCTGAGAATGTTGTAGATCACAGACGAAATTCCAGTCCATTTGAAACACAAAGCATCCCTGTGAAATCTTAAAATCAGAGATCTTTGTAAATTCAGAATCTGTCGTAAAGCACAAGAACGGTGGGAGAACACAATCTCGACAACACTGTTAAAGTGAATTGAGGCATTACATGTTCCAGACTGATGAAACTACAGTGCAAGTGTGACAAGATTTGCCAGAATGAACTAAATGGCTTAGTGACAAACATACAAAGGTAGTTGTCGTTTAGTTTACAGTGTGGGAGAATGTTATTGCCTTCTTTATCTGATTGCAATTTCTGCAGCGACAAAAACAAGATGTCAGTGAGCACACAAACACTATGGACACATGCAAGACCAGAATGTCTTTAATCAAGTACTTTTTTCCTCGTATCGAACGCTAAATGAACGTGGGGAATCTTACTGACTGATAATACAAAACAGTGGAATAGACACTAGACACAATTCATGCAAATATATTGCTGTTTACGTATTGGATACGAAATAACTGCCGAAGAGATGATGTGATTCAGGTTTCCCTGTAAAGATAAAATATGGCTTATATTCTGATAATTAACCCCTCTCGCTTGATTGATTGATCTGTCACTAATATCTAAAGCTCCTCGCGAATCGAAATGTGTGAAAGGTAAATGGTGTAGTCGGTGTTTTGCTCTAGTGTGCTCTGTTCTCACCGAAGTCAGTACACGCTAAAATAATATCTAAAGCTGCGTGTGCTTGAGATTATTCAGGGAATTACTTCTTCAGCATGTCCTGCAGTGGGCCCGGGAGATACTTCATCATCGTGGCCATGATGTTTTCTTCCTCGTCGTCATCGCCGCAGCCGGATGGTACTGCTTTCTTTGGACGGGTCAGACTGCCTTCGCTCGCCTGCTCCATCGCCGCCTGTGCCTCCGCTTCGGCCACCTCACGCTTCTTAATGCCATACTGTTACACAACCATAGAGACATTTAAAAGTTTACATTAAAAAGTTGTATCAATAAAAAAGCGCTGAAGTTAAAGAAACTCAGACACAGTTTATATTTGTCTACAGAACTAAGTTCAATTATGCACTTTTGAGTCTTTAGTCAAATGTATCCAAACATTTGAATCATGTGATATGATACTGAATGATTACTGTGCTCATATACTTTAGAAAATATCATGGTACAATGCTTGTTACAATTTTTATAAGTTTAGCCAAATATTGTGAAATGTTTTAAGAATTAACCTCAAGTTGTGTGCATTATTTTCTCTGAGTAATAATTTCAGTAATAATTTTTTGGGGGGGCAAATATTGTGATTTGTCAAAACATTACAATGAAGCAGGTTTACTGACAACATATGTATAATTACTGCAATACTGCAAAACAAATAACTTTGATAATGCTAACTTATTTCTACATAGGGCATACAGCATATTAGTTACTAACCTAAACGACGGACACGCATAGCGTGTGACAAGGCTTAACATCTTAAAAAAAGATGAGAAAAATGGAAAGAATTTTTCGTAATCCGTTTAAATATTCACAAATAATATTTTATTTTAAAATACACATACAATTAGGAGTTAATTTGTGCAAATGTTGTAAAAGCAAAACAACAAAATGTTCCTTGCCACATTCGGTTACGAATTACGTGAATCACGTAAATGATCAAAACGGTCGTCGAGTAGTTTGCATCACAGAATATTACTGTTGGTTATTTAACATTTCTGTTGTAAAACAGCTGTCAAATAATAAATGTTTTCCTACTTACCTCACACTCACTGTTAAAAAATGCCGTGGTGTCGCGCTGGAACAGTAAAGCCCCGCCCTTCTTTGATTTGATTGGCCATCTAAATAATTCTGACATTGACCAGCGCTGTATGGAGGGTTTTTTTTGTTGTTTTTTTTATCATAAATAAATATTGAATTTGGCAGGGACATTTTTCTGCGTGAGAAAATGGATGTGTGGCGTGAGAATAGTGTCAATTGCGTGAGTGAGTTGGCAGCCCTGATATATACAACAGTTCGTTCTGGTTCTCAAATCTGATTGGTTGAGAACCGTGAGCTATTGTACTGGTATCGCTACAGGAACGCCCTTTCACAATTTTGTATCACTCCGCTTGTGTAAAGTGTATATATATATTTACTTTCTTTTATTTTTACCAAATTTACCTGTATTTACTTTGTTTTCATATTTGGCGACTTTTTGTGAAAAATGGAGCCTTTTGAGGGTGGTTCTAGCGATTTTCTGAGGGAGGGGTTTGGCAACACTGCTTAGAGTACGGTAGTTAATATAAGAAGAAACGTCTAGCTTCGCAGCCTCTCTCTCTCATTTGGATGCACGTCTTGCCGCATTGTTTCTCTCTTATAACCTCATTAGTGATATTGCTCATATCTATATACACCGTGTACATTTTAATAAAAATTATTGTACATTTATAACACAATTTTTTTTATTACATAGGCATTAAATTACAGAAAACGAATGAATTCAATGGGAACTCAAAACTGTTTGGTTAACAAACAGTTCAGCAGAAGAGAGTAAGTCACGCAAGTTTGGATTGACAGGCGGCTGAGTGAATGATGATAGAATTTCCATTTTTGAATGGACTTTTTAACAAGATGAAAAAATATTGATTTGAAAATTTGACTTTAGGCGTTTTGGGGAGCCAATAAGGATGGCTAATGATCCTTTTTCCAAAAAGCAGATGAGACAAAAGCAGAGGCTGTTGGTGTCTCTAACCTTATCTCTGATGCCCTGTCTTATGGCTTCCCGCTCTGCTTCCATCTTGGCGTGTTTGGCCTTCCTCTCGTCCTCTTCCTGTCTGAGAGCTTCCTGTCTCTCCTCTTCCTTCTCTTTTTCTGCTTCAGGGTCTTTATCCTCTTCTCCTCCCAGCATTTTACCAACATCAGGGGGGCCTCCTGCAAACAGAAAAGAGATCAAACTTCTATAGAGAAAAGAAATTACAAACAACTTAAATTGTGTTTTTTTTAAAATGATGATTGGATGCAATTACAAAAACTATCTACAAACTATGTACAAAAAGTATTATTTATATTTCCTAACCATACAACTGTTAAGGCCTAGATATTTCCAAATAGTTTAATTAATGCAACAATAAGCGAACATGTAAGTATATACTATTTATAGTGTATATTACACAATGTGTTCAGGCTTGATATACTCAGACTTTAACAGCTATGATAAATTATATGATAAACCTAATTATACAAACTTTAAACTTATCACTTTTCATTGAAGAAAATTACACTATTATTTATTTATTTATTTTCGGAAAGAAGTCTCTTATGCTCACCAAGGCTACATTTATTTGATCAAAATTCAGAAAAAGAGCAATATTGTGAAATATTATTAGAACAAAATAGCTGTTTTCTATTCTTAAAATATTTGAAAATGTAGTTTATTCCTGTAATGGCAAAGCTGAATTTTCAGCATTGTTACTCCAGTCTTCAGTGTCACATGATGCTTCAGAAATCATTCTATTATGCTGATTTGGTGCTCAAGAAACATTTCTTATTATTATCAGTGTTGAAATATATTTTTGTGTCAAGCTTAATATTTGTTGTTGTTGTTGTTGTTTTTGTGGTAACCGCAATGCATATTTTCAGGATTCTTTAATGAACTGAAATTACAAAGTTAAATGTCTTTTTTTTTTTACTTTGACACTTTTGATCCAATTAATGCATTCTTGCTAATAAAAGTATTAATTAATTCAAACGGCTGAATTTTAATGTATATTTGGTGAAAAAAAAATATGATAAACGTCAAAAAAGCCCAACCAACTCAGCAAAACAAAGTTAACTTATAAATATTAAATTCACCACAGCAGGTCAAGTAACTTGGAGGCACACAAACACACCCCAGAGCATCAGAGAAAAAATATCAGATGAAGTGTCTATCCAACCACTGAAAGAAGTCCTGTCCACTGGATTAAACAGTAACGCTGCAGAGCATCCGAGCAGGAACAGGAATAATTCATGGGTTT